GAAGCCCGCGGGTACGCCTCGGTGCCGAGCGGAGCAGTTGTCTTTTCAGAAGCATACAACTCTAATTTTTTCTTTTAATTTCGAGTGTGTTGAATTCCAGGTTCTTCTGTTCTTGTAAAAAGCACCGTAAGAGTCTTCCCACTGTGTGAGATTTGGAGGGGGAGAGTGGGTGGGCTGACTGTCTTTGGTTGTAACTGCAAAGGTGTCGCTTATTTACATACCCTTGACTCCCAGAGTTCGAAAAGATCCCTCTGTATATACTTGTGTCAGTTGTAAGTCAAAGTAGAGTAGTTTATTATTTACCCTAAAGTATTAATCTGAAGAAAGGTGTTAATAAGGAGTGGAGAAGTAGTTTATGATAAATGTAACATTTGGGGGTTTGTCACTTGCCTAATACTTTGTATTACAGAATTGGTTGGCTCATTTTTAAAGAAGAGCTTAGTGTTGAACACTCCTCTGAGTTCTCCAAATATGTATCGAAACAAGTTTTTTCCAGTAATGCTGAAAATTAGATGTTGAGCTCACTTCCATAGTGCTTCTATCTCTAGCGTTGATTCCACTTCCACCATGTTTTGAAATCTTCTGAAATGGAATGTGATACTTAGTATCAGATAAACACTGAGGAGTGATTTGGGGCAGTTTGTACATCTGAAAGAAATCTTAACAATTAGCAACATGAAAAAGTACTAGTGAGCTGAGAGTCTTCAACAGCATGTGTAATATTAAGTGCTTAAAGGCAAAGTGCTTAAAGCGTGTGTAATGCTAAGTGCTTAAAGTAAATGAATAATATTAACACGAGTGTCAAAAGGATCTGTAATGCCTTCAGGAATCTTACTGAAGCATCACATCATGTGGTTGGTATTCTTATGAAATACAGTGCAGCTGTTTGTTACATCAAATCTAAAAACCTTCAAGATTGTACTGTGAGACTGGGAAAAAAAAAAAACAACAACGGTGTTTCTCTGACTTTATTTTCAGATGGTGTTATCAGAAAAAGTGAACCAGCTAATGGAGTGGGCTAGTAAAAGATCCGTTATTCGAATGAATGGAGACAAATTTCGACGCCTTGTGAAGGCACCACCTAGAAATTACTCGGTGATTGTGATGTTCACTGCTCTTCAGCCTCACAGACAGTGTGTTGTGTGCAAGTATGGGCTTAATTTAGTCCTAAATTAGAACTTGAAAGTCATCATACGCTTTGTAGGAAATTAAATTTAAGAGTAGGATAAAACTTTCATGTACATGGGAGGAATATACTAGGGCACGTTATAGTAGGATTATCTTTGAAATTAAATGTGTGGGAATATATGTGTAATATGGATGTGAGAAAACAACATCGTTCTTAATTATTTATCTCCCTTCTAAAATAATCACTGTTTTGCAGAAACAATATTCACACTGACAGGCTTCTTGGAGAAAGATAGGGTGAAAACTCAACTTTCCTGGCATGCTTTCTGCAGCTTGCTGAAGAAATGTTTGTAGAATTACTGCTGGCCATGCAGTCAAAAAGTTGTTGTTAATTTATATTGATTGGCACTTATTTATTTACAATTATAATATGCTGTATCCTTAACCATATTATGGCTTTCATGTATTAATCTGGAGGTGGCAGAGGTCTGTAAAGATGATTTTTTTACCTAATTAGTTGACATTAATTGGTTTCCCATCCTCTGACATGGAAAAGAGGTTTTGGTGCTCTGTGGACTAGCAAATCATGAGCTGCTGGGTTCCATTTCAGATTTCAGTTAGAAATTACCACTGCTTGTGTTCATGGACTCAACAAAACTTGCCCTTGCATTTAAAAAAACAGCAGTGCCAAATGCTTCACTTGATTGTTAGATGAGTGTCTGGCCTTAAACTTTTTCTTTAATGCTAGAAGATTAATGTAGGGGGGTGTGGGATGCAGCCGTTAACGGGGTGGGTGGCTACAGCTCCCTCAGCTGTTTTGTAACTTGTGTTCTGGACAGAGATATGATACAGCATCTCACTTTGTCTGCTTTACAGGCAAGCTGATGAGGAATACCAGATTCTGGCAAACTCCTGGCGATATTCCAGTGCATTTACCAATAAGATTTTTTTTGCTATGGTAGATTTTGATGAAGGCTCAGATGTATTTCAGATGGTAATGTCTTTCTTTTTCTCTTCTAACATTATTTTTTAACTTGGGTTTTGGAGACTGAGGCCAAGAAGGTAAAGATGTGTACAAATTTTAGTGTTACAATGATTAAAGAAATAATTGAAAATTTAAAAGCTGCCACTTTCAGAAGAAATGAGAAGAGCAGAGGGCAGTAGCATGTTGGCAGTAACATGAACAGAACTGACAAATCTGGAATAGGCACAAAGAGTGAACTGGCTTCTTTGGCTGTTTTTTCTGAGTTTGTCTCCTATAATAACTTACAGTGCAGTTTTTAATGGAATTCTTCTATGATACATGAAGAGGCAAGATAGAAAGCACCGATGTTAGGAACAGCTATTACAATTTTTAGGTTACTAGGGAATGATAGATTAGGCTGTCAGTATTGGTTAACTTACTTCTTCTCAAGTACCCAGTCATTTTGCGCTTCTACTAACATTATGTAACCAGATTTTTTTTTAAATGTATGAGAACATTCCATGTATGCTTGCAATTGTAGATCAAATTAATAGTTCATTATAGTTTTGCAAATCTTAACTCTTTTTTTTTTTTTTTTTAAAGAGCTACTTATCTCTATTTAAAAGCTACACAATTTAGGCAATGATATTTTATTAAATGGAAGCTTTTGTACTGGAGGAGTGGAAAGGGATGTCTTTTTTTATTCTTGTTAAATTTTCCCATAGTCTTACATCAAAAATTTATTCATCAAGCTATGGCCTTTATAGATTATTGTATATAATCCTATTTTGCAGATTTCTCTCCCAAAAGTAGTATTTATAGAAGAAACAGATTCAAAAAAACTGAAATGCTATGGAAAAAACAGTGTTAGGAAAAGATGGAACTGCATTTTATAAACAACTACTTTTATTTACCTATTATAATTTCCTCTTAACAGGTCTGAATCTTTTGAATCGGTAGCTATAGATCTGAGCACTAACAAAGAAATGTCAATCACTTTAGAAGGCATGTGTCAATATGTTTTTTTTTTTTAAAAAAAAAAGCCTACTGAGAAGTAACAATTTTTTTCTAAGACATCCAGAATAGCTATTGACAGAGCTAAAAAAACTTTGTTTCTCAATACTAAAAGGAGAAAACAGCATGGAACACAAAAAGGATATTGCAGGAGTATATTAATTAGTTTTATGAAATACAGAAATGCAAGCTGCTGTGTGCTGTCTTTACTTTTTTTTTAAGTCATTGTCAATGAAATTTATTTATTGAATAGTTACTTTTTTCAGATTGATTTAGTGCCGGTGTTGCAAGATACAAATGAAATAGAATTGTGTGTTACTAAGTAGACCTTTCATGGTGCTGTATCTTCTATGAATTTTCTAAATACAGCTAAACATGAATTCTGCTCCAACCTTCATTAACTTTCCTGCTAAAGGCAAGCCTAAACGGGGTGACACATATGAACTTCAGGTGCGTGGCTTTGCAGCTGAACAGCTTGCTCGTTGGGTGGCTGACAGAACTGATGTCAATGTAAGTATATACAGACTTTCCCCATCACCACCTCTGCAGCACTCCCTTATTATGTAATTCCAGCTATGAAATATGTCAGTTGTGTTCTGTGGCTAACGATCTAATCTCGCATACTCTAAATAGTTCTTGTCTACAAAGGTTTAAGTACATGACTACATCTTTAAGTTTCCTTACATTCTGTGTTCTAATATTTTGTGTAATTCTGTATTTGATAAGATGGTAAAACTCATCTCCCTCCTTCTCCCTCTTCTGCTCCTATGGAAGAAAAAAAATCTTTAAATTATTAGGTAGGGTAAAGGTGTATAAAACTGAAGTTACAGTAATGGGGGAGAAAAGCATTACTTACTTCCCTAGTCAGATTTATTATATAGAAAATTTTTTGTGTGTGTTTATATTAGAGTGGAAAAAAATATCTTGTGGGTTTCGTTAGCAGGAGTGTGGGTATAATGTATAATCCCATCGAGGGAAAAATAATTTAAATATCCTCTGTTAAGATTCGTGTGATAAGGCCACCAAACTATGCTGGACCATTGATGTTAGGACTGCTGCTGGCTGTCATCGGAGGCCTCGTATATTTGCGTGGAAGCAATCTGGATTTTCTGTATAACAAAACTGGCTGGGCATTTGCTGCTTTGGTGAGTAATTATAACTCTTTTCTGCATGTTGTCATGAGTTTTGTAGCAATTCAAAAGCTTTTGTCTTTAAAGATGCTTAAACCTGGTAGAGGAAAATGAGGTGCATTTAGTTTTACTTTTTGGTAGTCTGATAATATTGTTTGATCTCAGTCTTTTCAGCTCAGTTAATGCTTGATTAGATGCCTTTTATACAAATAAAAGGTAGGACAATGCCTAGCCTAGGATTGTATTCCAAACCAGTATGTTTCGGTATGAAATTAAAAGAAATTGTGTAACAAAAAAAAAAAAAAAAAAATTCATTATTAAATAGTGTTTCTTCTATCCTTTTCAGTGTTTTGTGTTAGCAATGACATCAGGCCAGATGTGGAATCATATTAGAGGTCCACCCTATGCTCATAAGAATCCCCATACAGGACAAGTGGTAAGTCTTTTCTTCGTTTTCTTTTCTGCATTTCTGTTGTATTTCTACAGAATAAGGCTGATACTAAAAGAGGCAAGTCAGGGTGCAAATTCTATTGTTGGCTTCTTTCATTGTAAGTCAGTGAGGCTAACCTCTCCTGCAGTGAGCAAGGCAAATTAGAGAGCTGTTAATTACTTCAGAGAGGATCTGTCTTCTCTTAAAATACGCCTGTAAAAGAGGGGTTTGGTTTTGTTTGAAACAGAAGGAGCGTTAGAGCTCCAGTCAAGGTTTAGATTTTCTTCCAATTAGCTTTATCCTTTTCTTGGCTCAAGTAGAAGAAGAAAGTCTGTTTGCAAACTCATGCTTTACTACTAAGAAATCACAAAATACTGATCTTAATCCAAAACAAAGTGCTCTGTTGTGTATTTGTTGTGTGATAACTTCAATCATTACCTAGAATTCCATTTTGGTAGGAATGACTTTCCTACAGTCTTTTGTTCAATGATTCATTAATTCTCTAAGAATGATGACATTAGTTCTGTGATGTTCTAAGAGTAAGGACAAACGTTGCTTAGGGGTTTTTCGGGTGTATTGCTTTCTGTGCTCAATAATAAGCTTTTAAGAGATAGAATATGAAGTGCAATTCTTAATCAAATGAGAAATATTAAGATTAATTTACTATCTAGCAGGATGTTTAGTTTCTTGTTAGAAACTGCTCAAAGTGCTTTCCATGCAATAAAGCATTAGGCAGCAGTCATAGGTGTGGTACTCTACTGTAAATGGGACATACACCAGTATGTATCGGAGGTGTTACCTTGGAGTTTTTTTGTTGTGTTAATACCTAGAGAGTTCAAGGTCTTTTTGTGTGCGGAAACTTTGATTATTCTAGTAATCACAGAAAGCTAAGAAGGTACTAAAATAATGCTCTAGGGTAGAGAGGGTAGCATACAGAGTAACCAAAACTACTTGCTAACAAGTTATTTGGACGGAGGGGGTTCCCCCTTGCTTCAGAACCTAAGGTAAGCATTTCTTTCATCCTTCCTGTTGTTCCCCATCTCTCCAAAATGTAAAAGTAAAAGAAGTGATACATTTTGGAGGAAGCATAATGATAATGCTTTTTTGCTTGGGTTCTGAGGGTAGATTATTTTAAATTATCCAATCTCTTCCATCTCTCTGACCTCCTATGCCTCTTTTAAACATTCCTATTTGTTTTCATGTTTTCTTTTCAGCATTTATTTATCGGTGACATTTGCTTTCCTCTGTCTTGTATGTATATTTCTAGTAATGAAGAGACATGATAATTCTAAACTGCTAACAGCAAAATAAAGGTGTTTATGTTGTCTTACATGCTAAACAGTCCTATTGCTGAGCCATGCAATTTCATGTTTAACCTGGTCTTTTTAGCTCATACGCCCACATAATGACTTCCATATAAAAACATCTTTCTTTGAGATTCTTGAGGTAAATTAATGTCTAGTGACCTTAGACTTACGAAAGCTCACTCCTGGGAAAAATCAGTTTTAACATCACTTGAAATATACTGCTCTGTACATAATATAGAATGAGATACACTGTAAAACTAGTCAGAATGTATTGAGAGCATTGCATCTCTTCAGGTGCTTACACATCACATATTAGCTTTTCTCATGTGTTTTACTCAGAAGGGAATTAACTTGGTGAAATGTCCTTTCATGCTCAGTTTGGTGGGTCAGGCCCTCTATGTTCTTCCATAAAAAGTGGATCTGCTTATAAAACTTTTTTTTTTTCTACTTAGATATTAACATCACAACCACGGTGATGTGGAGCTTCCTATAAGGGATTCAAAAATGGGATTCTTCCACGAATTTAAAATTTTCTGTTAACCCAGTTGGTTAGTAAACTATTAATGTAAATAAAACTAAGCCAACTTACTGAGTGGAAGTTCTCATATTTTAAATGGTTTCTTGAAAACGCTTCCTTTTGTTTCTTCCTTTTGTTTACATCATTCCTAAGCCTTTTTGAGACTGAAGAATAAAGTTTCAATGGTATTGGTAGTGATGTTCCTTTTCCTAGTATGCCATGAAAAAGACTTCAAATGCTTGGTTCTGGAGCCAAGTGAGTAGCATTCACACGCAGATTGAAGAGACTGTCCCTAAGCTGAGGAGCAGCGTACGTAACCTAAGAATCTGAGTCAGAGAATGGATCAGACTTGGATCACAGTGGGTGCAGGAGGGCATAATTATGGTATTTAGGGCATCTGGACCATGAAGGTTATAGTTGCCCTTATAATCTGAATGGTACTTTGCGCTGATTGCGCGTTATAACAGAAGAAGGATTTTTGGTGCTGACACAGCTCCCCCCCAAAATCAGTGGTCAACAGATGAAATTGTTTGTGCTCCAACTTCTGTTCTGTCTTCTGAAAGAGACAGTGCAAAACCCAGTTCCAAGCACTATAGCTGTTGTTAATCATGTCAAAGTTGACTCCAGTCTTTTCTAAATTCAGTTACTCTTTGTCTCTTACAGAACTATATCCATGGAAGCAGCCAAGCCCAATTTGTGGCAGAAACACACATTGTTCTTCTGTTTAGTATCCTTCCTACTGAGAAGCATGTGGTTGGTGACGATTTTTCTGTTAGCTTATGCTGCTGCCTTTTCCACGAGAGTACTTTGTCAAGGCTCGCAACTGTCATCTAATACTGATGCAGAAGCTGACAACTATGCTTTGCCTATGCCAGTGATCTTTAAGTTGAATAGAAAAATAGTTACTGCTTTCTCATCACCTTCGTCCTTGCTTAATGACTGAACTGGATACAGCGTTAAAGATGTGGATCTTTGTGGAATCGTAAGATTCTTCAGGATAGCCCCTGTTTCCTCTGTGCATGTCTCTTACCTTTTCAATCTCACTTACTTAGTTTTTGCTTTGGTGTTGAATTCCTTCCTCTGTTACTGATCTTTCTTCTTTTATTTCTTTGCTTACCTTCTTTACTTTTAATCTTACCACTCGTTCATGATAATGATTCAGGATTTTTCCATGCTAGTATTATGCCATCAAGAAACCTGCATGTTGAGAGCTTTTGCCATTCTTATTTGTATAAAAACATTTCTTTGCAGTCATAAGAATACTCTAAAATTCAATGTTCTTTTCTTCTGTTCCCACATGTATGTTTTCGATCCATCATTTGTAACTTTAGTCATCTCTGACTCAAGCTTTTCTTCCTTGTCTCGTTACCTGTGTCAGCCTGTGCATTCTCTTATCTTTTATTCAGGATTTTAAATTTTATTTAATATTACCTTTTTTTCTTGCAGCTTCACAGTCCTAAATTTTTTACATCTTATACTACACAAGTACACAGAATAGCAGACTTACTACAGGCACATCATTTCAAAACTTCATTCAAAGTACCTGTCCTTTTCACTGCTTGACAATGATTAACAAGTCTCTTCTGTTGCAACAGCAATGTTGTTTAGCAGAGTGACTTCCACTAATTTCTCCCTTTTCTCTTCTTGTTTTATCCATTCAAAATCGCAAGTTCAGCAAGTGATGCATTGGGTTTTTTGTAACAAAATAATATAAAGTAAGCAGTTGATGTTTAAATATGCTGGTGTTAAAAGAACTTTAATCTCTTGCTGTGTATTCATTATCAAAGATTTTTTTTTTTTAACTTAAAACATCCATTTGGAGGGGGACGTCTGATCTTTTTCTAATTATTACTGTACTTCTGATGCACTCAGTCAAGTTCAACCTAGAAACTTTTTGTTGATGTTTATTTGTGTTATTGCTATGCATCACATTATGGACCCAATCTACCAGTTGCTGGAGACATTTAAAATGGTGGAAGTTGGCAAGGTTCCTGTAGGTTGAAGTCACTTTTCTCTTGTGCTGAAGGTAGACCACATCTGAATGGAAAGATTTCTTAACAGTTCCGTTGCAGTCAATGATAAGTATCTCTCATTTCAGGAGGAGAATTGGGACTGAACATCTATAGTGAAATGGAATGAAATCTTTGGGAAGTCTTTGTTCCACTGGATCCACTATTTTGCTTTGCTAGGATTCATTCTTTGCAAATGTTAGGCCTTTTAAGTTGTCTGTGCTGCTTTAATTTTACAAGCTTTAGGGTTTTTTTTTTAACTGAAGAATTAGAAAAGACTGAAATATTGCTACTTGAAAGATATCCTGTTAGATTAAATATTGCATGCATTTTATTCATTCTGTTGGCTGAGTAAAATGCAGAAGTTTAATTCCTTTTGGGATTTTCCAGTGGAGTAGAACAGTAGTGGGAGTGGATCGAGCTCTCTGGGAAAGAATGCTGTTTCATTACAAGCTGAGATAATAAATGTGTATTTTTAATTTTATGTCAAGACTTACTATACTTTCTAGTTTATATTTCAAACTTCGTATTTATTTTCTCTTAAAAGATGACATTACGAATGCCTTTCAGTTGCTTTTTTTCCCCCATAGTTGCTGGTTTGGCTGGGAAGTCTTTAATTTTTCCAGTGAGTTTTAATGCCCCAGGTATGGAGTGGGAGCTGAATTTATAAGGTTAGGAATGAGTGTATTATTGAGTCTATTGTATTTTGTTGATTTAGCCTTAAACAGCGTTCATAGATGGTGGTGTTACTTTAGGAATGGTACTCCTCCATGAAGCTGCTACTTCTGACATGGATGTGGGGAAAAGAAAAAGTGAGTACTAATACTTTTCTCTGTAAGAGAAGGCATATTCAGTAAAGTTTTCTGATACACTATTTAATAGAAATGCTGTTGCACTGTGGGCTTTTGTACACTTCCCACCTCTAAGCAGAAGCGAATCATTTGGTTTTTCGGCAGCATTTGGAGTTGCTTAGCAAACTGCAAGATAAACTCAAAGCCCTTTTGGGAGAAGGGGAGATACAAAGATGTTTTGCAGCATTTTGCTAGTAAGGGAGAGAAGAAGGGACTTAATTTCTCTTAAAGCAATAAAATTGATTTACAGTAGGAATTTGAAAGAAAATTGGTGTTAATCTAGTTCTACTCAGTGACTCTAATGGTCTCATCTGACCAAATCTGTAAATATTACAGAATGCTTTTGAAAACCCCAGTCACTGTGGTGGTTTTGGGGACAGCTGTCACATTACCAGAATCTTATTCTGCATCTCTTGCAGTCATGTGTATTGCTGGTATTGGCTTGGTGGTGGTGTTCTTCAGCTGGTTGCTGTCTGTCTTCAGATCTAAATACCATGGCTACCCATACAGGTACGTCTTTTCTGCTGCTTCAGCCATTGTTTTCCTGTGCATTGCAGTACAGCTACACCACCATGAAGTTTTTTGAAGGAAGTGGGTAAACATAAAGGAGGACTTAAAGATTGAGAGTGATACTAGAAGTTTGGGGTTTTTTTGTTCTTCAGCTGGTTGCTGTCTGTCTTCAGATCTAAATACCATGGCTACCCATACAGGTACGTCTTTTCTGCTGCTTCAGCCATTGTTTTCCTGTGCATTGCAGTACAGCTACACCACCATGAAGTTTTTTGAAGGAAGTGGGTAAACATAAAGGAGGACTTAAAGATTGAGAGTGATACTAGAAGTTTGGGGTTTTTTTCTGGGCT